AAAAATATCTCTATAAAATAACCTCACATAATATAATACAATTCTCTATTGTAACTTTCCCTAAAATAATATTATAGAAATTATCGTCAATAGAAATATTAAATCAACAAATAAAAAATTGACTGCTTTCATTTTTTTGACATAAAATTGCTGTTATTTTATGTAATTATATACAGGGTTCCTCCTCAAATTTTTGTTTTAAATTCCACAACTTTCCCTAACCCTCATGTCCCTTACAGTATGGCACAGTGACAAAATAAAGCAGAATTTCATTTACTATACACACACGCTATTGCTTCTCCAACATTTTAGTTAGTTATATTTTTTCTAATTAATAATTACATATTTTTTATAATCACCGAATTATTAAAATTAAAAATGTTTTATTAAATTGTGTGTGTAAATGTAATTATGAAGGATTTAGAGAGTTAAAATATTTCAAAAAAATTTTACTAACATTAGATTATTAAGTGTGTTACAGATTTTTTTTTTCTCTCAAATTCATAATACTGCTTTAATTAATACATCTGTTTTAAGATGTAAAAGTGTTTTAAAATTAAAAAATGACAATTGATATTAATATATGCTATATTTGGGACTTAATTAATTCGATCCCTTGGTATTTTTGCGATGTTCTCCTCCCTGTTGCATTTTATAATAATTCTTCATATAAACAGAGCATATTAATTTTAAAACTAATATTATCAGCAAAAGAAATAAATGTCTGTAATAATTATTGAACATTAAACAAAATAAAAAAAAATACAAAATGTGATTAAAATTTATAAGGTATGATTCTGAGTGATTTTAAAATATAAGATTTATTATTCTATTGCATTGTAACATTATATGTAATAAGACTTACTTATTAAATCTAAAATAGTAAATATTAAACTTAGCTCATTTGATTTGGTTGTACAAGGTTTAAAGAGCTATTTAAGAATTTGGTCTTTACGTACAGTACAGCAACAAAAAAAAAAAAAATTGACAAATAGAAAAATAAAGAATATGCAAATGCTATTATATGAGGGGTTTCTTTTTCGGCCTCCTATGGTCCATAAAAAAAAAAGACAAATGTAAATAACAAAATGAATTTATTACCAAAAGTTAGGTACAAACATGGTTACTTTTAAACATAATCACCGTGAAGATTGAGGCATTTGTCTATCTGTGAATGAGCTTTGAAATCTCCTCTTAATAGAATGTTGCCTCCAATGACTCGAGATGGGCCCTAATGTTTTGAAGATCATCATTAGTCTCGACCTTCTGCCCTCCTAGCCACGTTTTCAGTTCAGGAAATCACTGCACTAAATCGGGGCTATACGCTGGGTGTTAAAAGGTGGTGAAGACTTCCACTCAGCTTGGAACTTTTTAATCTGTGAAGACTTTCACCTCTTTCCTGAACTGAAAACCTGGCTAGGCGGGCAGAGGTTTGAGACTAGTGACTATCTTCAAAATAACATCGTTAAGGCCATCTCAATTCACTGGCGGCAACATTCTATGAAGAGGGGATAGAAAAGCTCATCCACAGATATGACAAATGCCTCAATCTTCACAGTGATTATGTCAAAAAGTAATCACATTTGTACCTAACTTTAGGGAATAAATTAATTTTGTTATTTACATTTGTCTTTTTTTTATGGACCATCAGAGGTTGAAAAAGAAACATCCCTCATACATACCCCACACATTACATCAACATTCCATTGTAAATGTTGATAAAAATAATATTAAAATTATGTATCTTTATTTAAATTATAAGAGAAAATTCAATACAACTGTTGAAAAATTGGAACTACATGCTTTTAACTACAAAATACCCCAAAGGCAGACATTAATCCAATGTTTCTCAGATGTCATCTTCTGATAGACCTCCTTAATAAAATCTTTTGGCATATTTCCCTAGAGTAGAATTTAATTAAAATGGATATAAAATATTAATAAGTTTTCTTAAAACAATGGCTTTGCTTTAGGCATTTTTATTTAATTTAAATGATTTTATATGTTTTAAAATTAAACTTTGATGTATGTTTTTAATAAAGGTAAATATTATGAGGAACTTTTTTCTTAAATTTGCACAATAGGCTTATTATTCTTGTATAAACTCAAGGATCAAGAATCAACAAATTCACAGACCTACAGGGATCTGTGGACCACACAGTGTTGAAAAAGCTATCTGAATAAACTCAAATACCGATATATAAAAATTTCAACTGTTCAGCACTACACACTGTGTAAAAATTTTTAGTGTTTTCAGATTATGCTTTCAATGATAAGAACAAGGAAAGTAGTTAGGCATCTCAGGATGGATAATTTAATGGGAGAAGGCAATTCAACACTTGGGCAATCTGCCAATGAGAGATGCCTTTCTATAGGAAACTGATCCCATTTACAGGACATGAAGAAAATTCAGAAAAGTCCATGTGGCTAGCCTATTGATGAGATGCAAACCCACAACCAATTAGCAGTGTTTTATCCATTCATCCACTGATGGGCTAAGCACATAAGGAAACTACAGTTAATTACTAAGGCCTATATCAAATTGGTGTTTTTTAAAATTTCAAGTAATTTCAAAAAATTATATTTTAATGACATTATTTAAATTGTAAAATGTATGTAATTTTTCCTATTAACTTTTTAAAATAATTTAACTTAAATAGTGTAAAGGAGTGCTTTCGAAGTTATACAAAATGGCCATGGTAAAAAATAATTTCAATAATACAAAATTTTCTTGCCAAATCTGAAATTTTCTTTTTTAAAATATTTTTTGGTGTCCATTACTTGACGTTTGTCTTTAACTGAAATTTTTGAGCCTTATAAAAATTTATTCTGAAGCCATCATCATAAATAAATTTTGAATTTTGGTGTCAAAAAGTCTGTTAATTACTGCCTGTGATGAAAATAAAAATAATCTTTCATGGCATTGACTTCAATTTTATTTCTGTTAATCAATGTATTATCTCAAGTTTATAATTGTATATGCTATCCTACAATGATGACAAGAGCTTAAAGTATTCTTTTACTCTAAATGTTTTTATGCTAACTTATCAGTTTAGTGTTGAATGGAAAATGTACGGTAGGCCTATTTAATTACTTATATGATTTAATTTGAATTTTCCAAACACTGTTAGTTATTAATTGGTTCATAAATTATGGCTTTATTTCATCTGCAATAATTTTTGTGTATGTTTGAGAGAAATTTTGGGTCCTGAAAATATTCTGTACCCCTCCTTGTAAGTTTCATTACATCACATTATGTCTTGCTGTCTGTAAACAGCTATACTTGATCAGCCATACTGTCAGCAAATAAAATCAACAAGGCAGCCAAAGAGAGAAATTCCCTGACCTTTTGATAAATTCTGACTTTCCAGATGGATAGAAACCCTGTATATATATATATATAATGAATAGTACAAGGCAAATGCTTTCACTTTATATTAAATATATTCTCTTCTGTAATTTTCTTTTGTAATTAAAATTTTTATTAACATTTTGTAATTGTTAACTGAAATTAATAAATGAGATGCAGTCTGTAATTAAAAAGCTCAATATAATTTTTATTTTTACATATATTCTGAACTCTTTCAATTAATGATTTCATTAATTCAATATTTTACAATGAATTTTAAAAGTGAAATAATTATTTTGATTTTTAATATAAATATGTCTTTTTACAATTATTAATTTGCTCTTAAAACTTTTTATATTGCCCTTATCTATCTGTGAAGATAGAAATGTAACTTTTAATGGACGGTACAGGTGCTTATTAATTCAATCATATTTACATTGTTTAATGTATACAAATTTACAGATTAAAGAATTAATACAGATGTATATTTTTGCTTAACAAGCTTTATATAATATACATAAATTTCAAAACAAATATCAAATGTTTCTTCATACAAAAAATAAATTTTCAATTATTGTGATTTTTTCATCAATTATCATGTTTTTGCTGAATAATAAGCTTTATTAAAGATTATTATTCATAATNATTTATTGCCACGACTTACAGCAGCTCATAAAGATGTTACAAAATACTGATTTTATCAATTAATAAATATTGTATTGTTCTCAAGGTGTAATCTCTTATGTACAGTGATATCAGCAATGTATTTTATAACTTTCATCGTAATTGAATAATCATGGTGTTGCAATTTTCACAAACACTAATGTACAATGTAAGTAGATGGCCAAATTGCGACATGGTCAAGTTGCTAGCCTACCGCTCTGTAGAATTAACAACGAATTCGGGTCAAAAAACCACAGAAATTTTTCGGAATTGATCCATAGTATTTATGTCGGGCCCCGTTACTCACAACCCTGCTACCCTATTGTAAGCATTGCCGATTGAGCTTGGTGAAAATGCCCTTATACTGTCCACAGTCCTGTGTGAGGAAAACAATTTGCATACTTCAACGTCTTAGAAATATAAATTGAATAGTATGTCAGGAAATAAGTAACGTAAACGAAACTTTTCACAGGAATTTCAAAACTATTTTTAGACTATAAATTTTTATTATAATTTAATTTTGGAAGAAATTTTTGTAAAATTATTCTTTTGTGCACATAATATAGAGAAACAAGTAAGGAAAAACAAAGGATGAGAACTATCTTGTTTTCAAAGATAATGAATGCAACTTGTTAAAGAAAAAGTCTATCTCATTCAAACTAAAAAAACAATGATAAGCAATTAGATGCTTTTATTTTATTTACATTTTACCTAATTTCAATTATTTTGAAGATAAAAAACACAGAAAAAAAATTTTCAAGTAAAATGTATATATTCATAAGAATATTTTTGATCTGTTTTAGATTTTATTGTTGAAATATAATTTTGAATTATTTCAACAATCAAATCTAAAACAGATCTGGTTTATCTGATTTGTAAAATTACAAAAATAAAATTGTATCAAAGTGAATTAACACAAAAGAAATTAAATCTCATATTTAATAACCCCTTAATGTCTGCACTTAAGATCAGACAGTAGAATTTAAAACTATTGACGAGAAGTAAATAACAAACTTACTTTACCACAATTCCTGCAATGATGACGACGACGCAATAAAGTGAAGTGGGCATTACAAGCCATACAACACTTTGTAACTTCATCTGGCACCCATCTTGGAGGATCTACCACAAAAAAAAAAAAAAATGTTTTTTAACAGTTTAAAATTTACTTTATTTTTAAATGAATTTATGCTTATTTTAAATCAAAAACTATTGGTATTAAAAACAATCTGATTTACCTTCTGAGTTATCTGTTCTCTGTCTAATTTGTAAATCTGAAAGTAAATCATTTTGTTGATTTTCTTGTAAAATTAATCCAGGTACAGCTTCCTCAGCACTATCAACTGACAATCTATCATCTTCTGAAGTTGATACACTAACAGCAGATGTTTCTGGTATTTCCTCAGTTCTTTGAATTTCTCTTTCACTTTCATTATTTGGCAAAATTTCTTCTGAAATGTTTTCTTCAAAAGTAATTGTTGGTTCTTTTATTGAATTTGAATGAGATGAATTCATATCAAACACTGATTTCAATATACTTCTAAGATCACTTGCACAGTTTGTCTGCAATTGATCAGCCACTTCTGTAAAAATTAGAATAATAAAATAATTATGATTTTAAAATATTAATTATTAATCTTTATTTAACAATAGTATGCTGTAAGGTTAATTGTTTTAATTAATTTATGAAAAATAATTGACATATAAAAAAAAATACTAATACTGTCTGTTGGTGTTATTATTTTCTGTTTGAAACATTATTACAAATACTTTTGACAAATTACAAATTGTCTTCTTCAGGCATAGAATAATGGAATCTTAACGGAACCTTACAATTTAAAAAAATATGTTAATATGTTCCATACAGTAAATTTAAAACGTATTCCATTAGATGCGTCAATACATTGAAAAACATTAAACAAACTGAGAGAAAAGGAGAGTACAAATAACATATAATTTAGAATTAATTCAAATGAAAATTATCGCGCTAACCTGTATAATGGGCACCATATTTCCAGAAGGTCGAGCATAGGTATGTTACACAAATTAAGTGTTGTTATGTAAAGCAACTCCCATATAAAAACAATCCTATGATCTGAACATCATTGAAGTAGGATGGCATTGGTCAAAAATATATTGTAACCATTTTCTAAAGCATTTCTGGCAAGTTTGGTAGAGGGTCCACAATTTTTGATGTCATCTTGATGCTCTTGAAAGCAGCAAGCCAATTTTCTAGTTGCAGCCCCAATATAAAATATTTTTGCACCTCTTTGTGTCTGCTGTAAAATTTCAGAAATTTTTGACAAAAAGTACAGGAGTTATTAAGCTTAAAAGAGGGTGAACAAAATTGTGTCCCCATACACTAACATCCATGTATACAGAAAAAACCCATGAAGTGTTTTTTGCAATTCTCAACATTTCAAGGTCCTGAGTCCAAAAATGTAAAAATCTTGGGGTCACTTTCTGACTGACTACCATACTTTCCCTCTGTTATGTATAACAGCAAGGAAAGTAAAAATGAATAATAAAAAACAATCTCAACTTTGAATATTAATATGCATTTATCCAAAACAGAGGTATAAGACAAGAAATCTTTTTGTTACACTCACTAATACAATTCCAGTTAAGTTCTAAACACAAAATATTTGCTGTCTTTATAGACATCAAAAAGGCATTCAACTCTGTCTATACCTCAAATCTTACAGACTAGTTAGAGAAGAGAGTGAGCTGGAAAAACTTTCTTTCAGTCAATACTGTCACTATTTACTAATTATTAGAATTGTGTTAGGAAATGATATATATACAGAATTTACTTTAACAAGAGGTTTATCCCAGGAAGACCCAATATCTTCATATTTATTTAATTTTTATCTATAAAATAAAACAAATTTTACTGTAGTAAAAGAAGGTATAAAGGTTAATAATAAAATTATATATATAATTATACATGTCAACAAACAAGGAATTGTTAGCTCTAACAAGGATATCATTTCAACATTAAATGAGTTAAATCAATATCTGGAATCAATATATTTGAATATCAAATCTGTCAAGAGAAAAATTATAATATTTATCAATAGAAACAATTACAAATTTTCAGATAAAATAAATATGTAGTAATCTGATATTAATCAATAAAATCACATATCTTGCAGTCACATTTAATTGGAATAATAACTTTAAAACTCATCTTAAAAAAGGAAAAAACCTCCAACTATAACCAATCTAACTATCAATTATAACCAATCTAATTAATCTTTATTCTTCAAGGAAAATATCAAATATCAGGATTCACATAAAAATATTTAATTCATTAATCAATACATCAGTTTATTATGAAAATCTAATATGGGCATTGGACTATATCCACAATCTGGAAAATATGCAAATAATTTTTCTACAAAAATTATTTTATATTGTACAAAACACTGCTCATAAAACCTTTAACCAGTGCGAAGCACAATCTATCAGTCAATACAAACATTTGTATTGACTGATAGATTGTGCTTCACACTGGTTAAAGATTTTATGAGCAGTTTTTTGTATAATATACTCCGGTGTGTGGCAATTCGTTATTATTTTATATTGAAAGAAATGTACCAGGTAACAAGAAATATGACACAAAGTTAATAGATTTTGGTTCTTTCCATTTTACCTAAAAGCCTGATAAGTAACAAACACAACACCTTATTAATCCCAGCAATATTTAATAAGAATAATAACGTTTTCGACTGTTTTAAACAGCCTTCATCAGTTAAACTATTTCAAACTAAAAGAATGCTAAAAATAGAATACATGTATAAATGTATTCTATTTTTAGCATTCTTTTAGTTTGAACCTTATTAAATATTGCTGGGATTAATAAGGTGTTGTGTTTGTTAGTTATACATTATCCAGTAAGTTCTTTATTTATTTATCTATTAAGCCTGATAAGATTTTATTTATTCTTTAACAATGACAACAAATTTACATATAACATTCTAGAACAAATGAATAAACTATATTTAAATAAGGAAAGAAAATCAAATACTTGGCTAAATAAATTCCATTTAATCAACAATTCTTTTGCTGTATCATCTTTGCTCTTAGAATGCATGGAACAATAATGATATCAGCCTTTTCCTATTCAATGATAAAAGACTAAGAAGCCCTAAACAACTACAGTCGACCCCCCTATAAGATATAGATATGTTCCAATTTATTAGGAATCCGATTTCTTACAAGTCGTTCCAATCACAGCCCGACACGTGTCAAGTTTACGGACTACGGCTGATTGAAAGGTTTTCTTCCATAAAATTAATCGATTCTACACTAATCCGACTCAACATTTCCAAAATACGTATATTTTTTCGTAGTTTTATAGGAATCGTAATTATAGGGACCGTAATTATAGGGGGGTCGACTGTATATCATTATTCATGGTACTACCAAACTCTATGTATTGGTCAGATGATATTTAAACACAAATATTGAGTAAAAATTTGCCAGGACAAAAATTTTTAAAAATTTACAAAATTTAAGAAAATTCTTAAATAGACAATACAAAAAAGTGTCTTCTCACTGGTCCTTTCAGTCTCAAATAAAAGGTTGACTCTGCCATGGAACTTTTTTCTCATGTGCACGTGAAAGTTGCTATTGGTGTAAAAGCAAGTATTATTCAATATATCATATTTTTACAGAATTTCAAGTATTAACATCTATTTGTATGTCAAATGGTCTTCAAGATTCCTTAAATTAACTTCTGAAACTATCTATTAAAATTTTAACAAACTACAAATGTAAAAGATTTACAATTTCTTTATACATATTTAAGTTAATCAAAAATTATGTATAATGAGATTAAAAAGGTGATCATATAAATATATGATATAATTATTTTGTTAAACTATTAATTTTCTATACTACCCCATAAGCCTCCTTTACCCCTATATACATAATAAAGATTTATCTCAATCAATGTTATATATTATATATAAATAATAAAAAAGGAGATATCTTTTAATTGTAAAAAGTCAAACATTTTTGAAGTTTTAAATATTTAACTGTAGAATAAGCAAACAATTATTTATATAATAAATTCAAATTCCTTAACTAAAAAATAATCCTTAGACTTTTTTATTCTAATGACTTAGCATCTAATTTTCGTTAAAAAACGGTTAAATTCCTTTTTTTTTTTTTATTACAAATAACTGACCGTTCCAAGTGTATTAACGTTTTGGAATGGAAGCAACAGTAGAACATAAGACAATTTTTAAATAAAAACACATGCAGTGTAATCAAATAAAATCAAGCGTGGGGGTGTTGCAAGGATTTAATATGTTGGTAAGGAGGGCCTCCCAAACATATACTATATTTGGGAACACCTACACGCTTGATTTGCACCCTTTGTGGATCAATTTGTATAACTATCTAAAACAACGTATCTAGCTCCACAAGTAGAAGGCGCATTACAACCGCACATGTTTTTATTTAAAAAATGGCATCTAATTTTATTACATAAATAAATCAAGGTGTGTATGTAGGTTATATAAGTTATATATAATATACATGGTCATAAGACAGTTGGTGAAAGTATACACGTGTCAAGAGAATCAAGAAGAAAGCACCAAATAGTCAACAACTGGGACCTGCTTGGACATGTGAGAATTTTACCAAAGAGCTGCTACATTGGAATTGCTTTGGGATGGAAAATTGTTCTCACAAATCATAGCATGATTTGAGTACAAGAAGATGCAAGTTTATGATATAGACAAGAAGTTCAGGGAATCTGACAGCAAGGACAATTTGATTCCTGACAGGGCAACTTACAATATGCATTCTAATCACAAGAGAAATGTGGAATTCATAGCCAAATTGAAGAAGATCAATCAGGATGGTGCATGATGCATGAATAACCTCACAAAAGAAATGGGTATGGCAAGGACCTGCAATACCATTTTTTTGTCCTTACAAATCACCAGCTCTTGATTGAGAATATCAAAAAGGACAGAAAACTGAAGGCTAAGACTGCTGAATGACAAAAGCATCATTTGGATGGGAAGAATTTTGTTCAGAACAGGAAGAATTGCCAAAATGACTGCTGGATCTGCCAGAATGTCTCTGATGTGCCTACTGTCATGCAGACCAAATTTGGAAGTTGATGGAAACTACATACAGAATGAAATTATTTTATGTTGTGTACTGCTTATATACAACTTTTGTAAAAATATATTGATTTTTCCCTCTATTTTTTGTTTTTCATTATATGGTGACTTTTCCATATTTATCTTGATGACCTTTTACACACACACAAACAAAGAAACAAACAAAAAGTCAAAATAAAACTTTTAATTTTCTGTTAAAGATTAATTAATTATAATTAAAAGTAAATAATTTTTTTATTAATAAAATAAAAATCCAACCTGAAATAGCTACAAATAACTTGTGAATCAGTTCTTCACTTGTACTGTAATTTGATCGTACTTCATTACGAGATGCTATTTCTGCTGTTTGTAATGCAAGTGCAATTGCTTCATCTTCCAAATAACCCATTATGTTATACCTGTCTTCAGTTCTAAAAACAATAATTATTATTTAATAAACTTGATTATTATTAAAGAACTATAAACTCTTTTTTAATTTCAATACAAATAAATTATTATTATTCCATATGTATGACTAATTTATATATATATATATATAATCGGGACGAGTTGATAATGATAATAATAATAATAAGCGCAGAGCCCAAAAGGTTAGGAGTTGAAAGTTGAAATTTGGTACACAGTTAGGGTACGTCACGAAAACGCACACTAAGAAGGGATTTTTTGAAATTCCCCCCGGGGGAGAGAGGCAGGATTAAGGCTTCTATATACATTATGGATAAGAGCCCAAACGGTTAGGAGTTGAAAGTTGGTACACAGTTAGGGTACGTTACGAGAACGCACACTAAGAAGGGATTTTTCGAAATTCCTTCCCACAGGGGAGAGGGACAGGATTAAGGCTTTACACTTCCATCAACAATGGAAGTTTTAAGTAACAATGGAAGTGTTATGTAACAATGGAATTGTTAAGAGAAAGCAACATGCAAGACGCAGATGCAGTTTTTTTCGTTTTTGCGGGAAATTGAACGTATTTTTAGAACCATCTAAAAATTCTCTAATTAGTCTGGAAGTAAGGGGACCCAATTCTTGCATTTTGTGACTGTAACGTAATAATCTTAATCTTAGTTATCGTTACTTTTGCCTGCTACTTCAGATATAAAACAATACTGAACTAACTAATAACTTAAAATTTCTGAATAATTGAGGTTAATAAATAATGGTAGAGTTCTTATAGATAATATAACAAATATATTTGTTTAATGTAAAAAAAAAAAATATTACATCTTTAGTATTAAATAACCTAAGTCAGAAATTATTTGAAATTATTGATCTTTACTCAAATTTAAAAACATAAAAAAAAAATTGATATACGGTAAAAACTGCTTAGGCGAACACCTGCATTCGCAGGCACCTGTCAAAATGGACAAAAATTTCTGGCATGGAATAGTTTATATATAGTCTTCATATAAGTTACCTGTATTAAACAACCATCTGTATAACGCAACCACAGGCATCGATTTTTGGTCGGAAACAACATACAATAACTAATAAGCAACCACTTCTGCGAATATATCTGGTCTAAACTACTGTTCGAACCATATCAACAATGTTTCCTCCTCCTAATATAATGAATTAGTCTAAACTCTTGTTCGAACCCATCACAGGCACTTCTCCTACTCTTGAAATTAGGTGCAGGTGTTAATGAATTAGTCCAGATACAAAGGAAATTCATTTCAGTTTGTTTGAAAATATCCAAGAAATGAAAGAAATACAAAGTGCTGTTGTTAGAAGTTCAAGACACAATAAATGCATTAACACAAAAATCAGTTTTACAGGCAACCTTCCTTTTTCAATTCTACGATTGTCATTGATGTAATGAAATCATATTACAAAAAAAAATAATAAAATTGTTTTATTATTAATTAATAATTTTTCTTATTGTACTTAGGAAAATATTAAATATTTTTTAAAAAAATACAGTATTTTTAAAGATAAAATAAGATTAAACTAATGAAAACCAAAACTGAAGTGGTAGAGAAATATATGACGCACTTCTATATCAATGACATACTGTAATACACATAACTAAAGAGTGAATGAAGAGAACCAAGTTGAATTAATTATGTTGGAAAAAAGTAGTGTGCATTATAATCAAGAAAATGCAAATATTGTATTAATTTTTAAAACATTGGTATTAAATCTGTCTTATAAAATCACAATGACTCCTGTTAATCGAGTCATCTGATGAGAATAAAATATCAATATCGCTCTATTGTTGAAAAGATTTGCTTATTTTTGCTCAAGGTTTTTGCTTAGTAGAAATGGCTAAAAAGTACGCAAAATACATGTGGAAATACAATATTACAGCACCATCTGTCTAAAATACGACTTTTTGAAAGGAACCACATATGGTCTCCGTAGACAGGTTTTACTGTATTCTATCTAGTGCATCTTTTCAAACAAAAAACATTTTCAGATTCATATCCATCTTCAAGAATTAATAAAAACAAACAGTTACTCAGACACTCATGAAACCTTTAAAAGCAACAAAAACAATTTAATTATAAAAGTCTTTGGTCATTCTTAAAGACCATCCTCAGATAAAAAACAAAATCAAACTTAGCAAAAATAGAATATAACGAATCATTTTCTGAACATGAAATGCCTGTTGGTTTAAATTAAAATAATAGAATAAAATAAAACTACAAATAAATATGTAGATAAATAATGAAAAAAACCATTAAATACATGGATTAACAATGAAAAATAAACAACAACAAATAAAAATACAATATATATAATAAGACAAATATATATAAAAATAAGTAAATATTTATTGCATGTTACACACATCCTTCAATACATTGGGATCACTTTAAGATCTTTGGATGCTAGACCAAAGGAGCATAAGGTATAACATCCAGAAGTCTGTATTAGTCACGGCCCTTGCTGCCTATGCTCTTTCTGATTCAGTTGATGTTTGCTGGCAACATGCTAAAATTATCAAAAGTATTAGAAATGGACATCATATGTGTTATGCAGAAGCTCTATACATTTACAAATATGTGTGACAGGGTTGTTTCAACAATTAAAAGATATCAACATTCTCTGTGGAATGGAAAGCCTGCATTGAGTTGGACATGGCATAACCAGAAGCAACTTTTCCATATGTCTATCTTATATAATATTTACATACTATGTATTTATTTTATTCTATTATTTTAAATCAACTGGCATTCTATGTTTGGAAAATTATCCATTATACTACTCTGTTTTCACTAAGTTCGATTTTGTATTCCACCTGAAGATAGTCTTTAAAAATGAATAAAAATTACCAAAAATGTTTGTAATTAAATTGTTTTGCCATTTTTAAAGGTTTCATGAATGTCGGAATTTCCACATTCCCAGTTTCTATTTTTAAATAGAGTTACTATAGCAACATAATGACAAGGATAAATATATTGCCATGGAAACATTTCCTTGTTATTACATTGTTCTAATCATATTCGTTTCTCTTAATTTCTTGAAAATGAGCATGAGTCTAAAAAACAGTCACATTTCTATTTCATTCCAATCTACTACAAATATAGAATATTAAAAACTTTTTCCATATTTTTTTAGAACATTGATGTTTATTATATTAAAATAAATTAAATCTCCTTAATAAAATATTATAACTATTATACTGTAAATTTTCTATTTGTAGAAACAATATTCTCAAAAATTACTGCATACTCTGAAACCAAATGTGGTTCTGAGAATTATCTATGGCTCATGACATTCAATTTCCAAAAATATAGATGATCTTGTTAATAAGATAGGTCAGCAGCCAGTTCACACAGTTCTTACTATAAGATGTCAATACAGTGTATGTCAAAGATAAAAATAGTACAGAATAATATTTCATTACTGATGGCTAGCTACTTTTGTACCACAGGAACAATTTTTGTAATTATGTTGAAAAGTGCTAGGATCAACAGTGAAGCTTCTTTTCACTGTACACAATTATCAGTTTGAAAACTGCATAGATATTTTAAAAATTTATGGTCAATAAATATGTAGACTTTGATATACTAAAGAGGAAGTAATTGTGATGGAAAAATGAAAAAAAATTAAATGAAAAGTACATCTTGACAATATGGATGAAATTGCTGAATTAGTTTTAAATCATGTGGAATAAAACTACTTGTATTACAATAACAAAATACAGTAGAACCTTGCTTAATGAGCATAATTCGTTCCAGAATCTTACTTGTAATGTGAAACACTTGTTTAGTGAAACAGTTTTTCCCATATAAATTAATGTACAATACGATAAGGTGTTCCATACCGAAAAAAATACTAAAATATTTTATGTATAGCATTTATTCAAAGACAATTATACAATATACATTGATAAAGAATCATCACACAGCGGAGTAAGATACAATTTACCGTTCATAAACCTTTAACCAGTATGAAATGTAAAAATAACTGTCCAAGCAAACGTTTTTGGATCCCTCCTGGGTCCTTTTTCAAGCTAAAAATTGTTTGTAATGATTATTTAAAACAAAGACCAGCCATTTGGAATGATATTTCAAAATACAAAATTTGAAAATAGAAAGGAATCACGTGCATATTGGTTTCATAAGCTAGTCATTACATAAGGTCCTGTGTCTTAAAAAATGTTTTCCATTTTTTACAAACAAAAGTTGGTGTTAGAGGGATAAGTACTGAAGATAAAAAAGCATTGTTATTCCCCTTTTTTATATTTTATAGTTATCCTGATCCTTTAATGTAGATGAGGTATTCACTCTTCTTTTTGGAATAGGACTTGCCAAGCTAAAGAGAGGGTGATTTCATCCCTGGAATTGATGTGTAATGTTCATGCTCCTTAACAATATACATTGTTAAGAAGCGTGAATCATCATCTTTTCTTCTCACATGGAATGAACCAACCTGAAATGCAAATTCAATTTTTTACTGAAAAAAAAAAAAAAAATACAGATAATATATCTGACAAACAAGCCAAAAGTTATGTCATTGGAATCACGCTTGATGTTCCAAATGCCATTGTCAAACTTCAAGGCTTCAAGATGGTGGCACTCAATGTTCAATGTTCATGTTTTAGAGATGAAAACTTTGGCTGCAACCTCTCTATTAGAAATTAATTAATTTGACTAGAGGTAGGTAGTTATGCTGCTATCTCATATTAATTTTAATAATTATAAATAATTAATTTTTAATTTGAACATTTCTAAAATTTAATTTGGAATTGATCATTAAATTTAATACGAGATGACAGCATAACTGCCTACCTCTAGTCAAATTAATTAATTTCTAATATTTAATTATAGCCCAAGAATTTGGTATATCATTTGGTGTGTTTACTACATAATGGGTTATGGTTGTTGAAGTTGTGTCTACATAATACTACATAATATGTGTGAACACAAGTTTGGAAAAGATGCTAAAGATGCTAGTGGAATGAGTGACAAACAGAGACTGATGGAGCATGCACACAATCTGGGACTTCTCCTCTCCTGGTCACTCATTAGCAAAACGTCACTCATTAACAGTATCATTTTTTTTACAATTTGCTTTGCTCGTTATGTGAATTATTCGTTATGCAAGGTGCTCGTTAAGCGAGGTTCCACTGTACAAAAAACATGTGCAAAAGTAAGTAAAATTATAAAAATATTCAGTTAGTGACGATAAAAACGACAGTTTTCTATCATAAAAAATTCAATAAAATCACCGTAAAATTATAAAAATAAATTAAAAAAATAATAATAAAAAGAAAATAGTAATGAAAAGATAGAAATTATGACACAGTTGATAATGTTTAATCCTTGTAAATTATGCTACTGTACTGTAATCCTAAAAAATACCATTGTACTTATTTCATTTAAAAGTTCTTCATAGTTTTTCCAAGTGGCATCTTATTCCAAATACAGAAATTGAGAAACAAACTTTTTTATAAAAGTATTCATATCTATGTACATTTGCACCTTTAAAAAATAATGTATTTAAAACTTATTTTTCATTTGCTTATCTTTCGGCTTTTGAAATTTTGAATAAATTATTCTTTTCCTAAAAAGAGTTGTTAAATAGTGATAAACAAATATAGAAATATAAAATTTAAATTAATGCATAAAGATTCAAAAATTAAATTTAAAACAGTAAAAATATTAAATATGCTATAAATAAAGTAGGGATGTGTAAGGATATTAAGAGAAAATTAAACACTAAACAAAATATTATAAAATTTATATTATCCTTGTTTTTAATATAATAAAAAACTAAATCCAGAAACTTTTCCATTACTTAAAAAATATGCTTTCAATTAAAAATAATAATTACTTACTCTCTTTCTAATTTACTTGAAGTATTATTCAGAGAGTCATCAGTCTGTGAAGAAACAGATGCTACTATTGTTTTACTGGAACTTGGATTATTTTCTTGTCTACTGATTTCTTTCTTAAGTTTGCAATTTTTATCATTTAGCTGTAAAAGGTTTTTAAAATTATTATTTGTCACCATGTGTAAGTAATAAACAAAATGCCTTAGAACTTATAAAAGTTTTATTTTTTTCATAAATTAAATAATTACAGAATTTAAACTTCACAATGTACACTGATAAATTTTTGTATAATCAGCTTATATTCTACTAAAAAAAAAAAAAAAAAAATCAAGTTCAAATNACTACGGCTGATTGAAAGGTTTTCTTCCATAAAATTAATCGATTCTACACTAATCCGACTCAACATTTCCAAAATACGTATATTTTTTCGTAGTTTTATAGGAATCGTAATTATAGGGACCGTAATTATAGGGGGGTCGACTGTATATCATTATTCATGGTACTACCAAACTCTATGTATTGGTCAGATGATATTTAAACACAAATATTGAGTAAAAATTTGCCAGGACAAAAATTTTTAAAAATTTACAAAATTTAAGAAAATTCTTAAATAGACAATACAAAAAAGTGTCTTCTCACTGGTCCTTTCAGTCTCAAATAAAAGGTTGACTCTGCCATGGAACTTTTTTCTCATGTGCACGTGAAAGTTGCTATTGGTGTAAAAGCAAGTATTATTCAATATATCATATTTTTACAGAATTTCAAGTATTAACATCTATTTGTATGTCAAATGGTCTTCAAGATTCCTTAAATTAACTTCTGAAACTATCTATTAAAATTTTAACAAACTACAAATGTAAAAGATTTACAATTTCTTTATACATATTTAAGTTAATCAAAAATTATGTATAATGAGATTAAAAAGGTGATCATATAAATATATGATATAATTATTTTGTTAAACTATTAATTTTCTATACTACCCCATAAGCCTCCTTTACCCCTATATACATAATAAAGATTTATCTCAATCAATGTTATATATTATATATAAATAATAAAAAAGGAGATATCTTTTAATTGTAAAAAGTCAAACATTTTTGAAGTTTTAAATATTTAACTGTAGAATAAGCAAACAATTATTTATATAATAAATTCAAATTCCTTAACTAAAAAATAATCCTTAGACTTTTTTATTCTAATGACTTAGCATCTAATTTTCGTTAAAAAACGGTTAAATTCCTTTTTTTTTTTTTATTACAAATAACTGACCGTTCCAAGTGTATTAACGTTTTGGAATGGAAGCAACAGTAGAACATAAGACAATTTTTAAATAAAAACACATGCAGTGTAATCAAATAAAATCAAGCGTGGGGGTGTTGCAAGGATTTAATATGTTGGTAAGGAGGGCCTCCCAAACATATACTATATTTGGGAACACCTACACGCTTGATTTGCACCCTTTGTGGATCAATTTGTATAACTATCTAAAACAACGTATCTAGCTCCACAAGTAGAAGGCGCATTACAACCGCACATGTTTTTATTTAAAAAATAGCATCTAATTTTATTACATAAATAAATCAAGGTGTGTATGTAGGTTATATAAGTTATATATAATATACATGGTCATAAGACAGTTGGTGAAAGTATACACGTGTCAAGAGAATCAAGAAGAAAGCACCAAATAGTCAACAACTGGGACCTGCTTGGACATGTGAGAATTTTACCAAAGAGCTGCTACATTGGAATTGCTTTGGGATGGAAAATTGTTCTCACAAATCATAGCATGATTTGAGTACAAGAAGATGCAAGTTTATGATATAGACAAGAAGTTCAGGGAATCTGACAGCAAGGACAATTTGATTCCTGACAGGGCAACTTACAATATGCATTCTAATCACAAGAGAAATGTGGAATTCATAGCCAAATTGAAGAAGATCAATCAGGATGGTGCATGATGCATGAATAACCTCACAAAAGAAATGGGTATGGCAAGGACCTGCAATACCATTTTTTTGTCCTTACAAATCACCAGCTCTTGATTGAGAATATCAAAAAGGACAGAAAACTGAAGGCTAAGACTCTGCTGAATGACAAAAGCATCATTTGGATGGGAAGAATTTTGTTCAGAACAGGAAGAATTGCCAAAATGACTGCTGGATCTGCCAGAATGTCTCTGATGTGCCTACTGTCATGCAGACCAAATTTGGAAGTTGATGGAAACTACATACAGAATGAAATTATTTTATGTTGTGTACTGCTTATATACAACTTTTGTAAAAATATATTGATTTTTCCCTCTATTTTTTGTTTTTCATTATATGGTGACTTTTCCATATTTATCTTGATGACCTTTTACACACACACAAACAAAGAAACAAACAAAAAGTCAAAATAAAACTTTTAATTTTCTGTTAAAGATTAATTAATTATAATTAAAAGTAAATAATTTTTTTATTAATAAAATAAAAATCCAACCTGAAATAGCTACAAATAACTTGTGAATCAGTTCTTCACTTGTACTGTAATTTGATCGTACTTCATTACGAGATGCTATTTCTGCTGTTTGTAATGCAAGTGCAATTGCTTCATCTTCCAAATAACCCATTATGTTATACCTGTCTTCAGTTCTAAAAACAATAATTATTATTTAATAAACTTGATTATTATTAAAGAACTATAAACTCTTTTTTAATTTCAATACAAATAAATTATTATTATTCCATATGTATGACTAATTTATATATATATATATATAATCGGGACGAGTTGATAATGATAATAATAATAATAAGCGCAGAGCCCAAAAGGTTAGGAGTTGAAAGTTGAAATTTGGTACACAGTTAGGGTACGTCACGAAAACGCACACTAAGAAGGGATTTTTCGAAATTCC